CTATTTTTCACAGAGATTGTTTTTGCGGGCAAAAAATTAGCAAAAAGAAAAAAACAAACAAAAGAATATTGTAGATTTTTTGTTGATCTACAAACCCATTTTTCCATTCTTTTTGTTAACTTCATATGTATCTTTTAGGAACGGAAAACATGACAAAAAAAAAAAATACACACACATAGGCCCTCACACACAAACACACATATACGCACATACACACACACACACACACACACACATACACACTTAAAGACACACACATGCACACACACACACACACACACACACACACACAAACACACACAAACACAGACACTTACAATCAGAGGCAACGGGGTTTGGGTGAGAGTATTCGGTGGGAGGGAGGGGTCTGCGCACGTTGAATTTGAGGTGTTTCGAATTACTTTTATCGCACGGGAGTGCCGGGCAACGGACCCAAGGTCTGGCGGACCTTATCCATAGAAAAAAAAAAAAAAACGGCGGGAGGACCCCTGTGTTTTGTTCAACGAGGGCCTGAGGAATTAAACAGCTTTCAACGATCATTTAATTCCACAGCCCCCTTTGAATTAGCCACTCAGAGGTTAGATACTCATTAGAGGTCGACCGCTGCAACACCAAAATCATTTGCGTCGGCAGAAAAAAATATCAATTGTTGCTTAGAGTGACGCTTCAGCAAAGCATCTCCCCTGTTTCTTTTTCGTTGTGGCATAAAACACTTAGCGGTAGTCATGGTAGGGAAGGGGTGGACGTCCACATGGTGCAGTAAAAATCCTTCCTATGCAACCAACTTTCACCGCCCATTATGACTTAGACACACTATTACAAAAATATTACATTATGAGTATAGACAGGGTACGCACATGTTTTTGAAGAAACATATTGTTGTGCTCCAAAGCACCACATACCATTTTTTTTTTTTGTCCTCTCTCTCTCTCTCTCTCGCGCGCGCGCGTATACAGCAAGAACACACTATACATTTGATAAAGACAAATAGTTGTGTATTGTTATGTTTGAAGATACGTAGTACTTCGACAGGAAGTCTTTTAGACGAAAGTACCACGTACCTTTCCAACATCGTTCCTCCAATGAAATATATATTTTTTCCACACAAGTGCACACTAGGTGTGCATACACTGAACTCCAACTCCTCCACCCATAAAATATTACATGGTGATGTGAACTTAAAGTACACAACACCACATACTTAGTAGGATTGTAATGGGAGTGTGTTGAGACTTGTTGAGAGGGTGTAGGGACTTGTCGGTATATATATGGCGAGGGCCTTAGTATATGCCAATCAGTTGGGTCCAGCAGAAGCAGTAGATACATATCAAAAATTAAATTTCTACAATTAAAAATAAAAATATATCAGGATTTTTTTTTCTGTTGGGCAGCAACAACAATTATTTTTAGGGGGATATACTGTCGGATTTGCCGCGCAGTGCAGATGTTTTTTAATGTGACTGAGAGGAGGCGTTGTTCGTTTGGCCGCATGACAACGACAAGGGCTGTAGGGGTTATGCTACCGAAATCTTGGCTCGGCGACAACCTTTTCCTTTTAGGTGGAAGTGCTATCATTTGTTTTTGGCATGGCGGGAGCAGCACTTTCAGTAGAAGTGCTACCTTTTTTTCGGCATAGCGGCAACAACAGTTTTCAGTGGGGTTATGCTGCGTATTTGACGACACAGCGAGTGATGGTTACGCCGTTGGTTTTTGGTGTATGGCGGCTATGCCGGATCAGCATGATGTAGAGGTTGGGTTAGCGCTGATATGTGGTTGGAATTGTGCGGAGCTGGTGCACGATTGGGTCTGTGCGGCAATGGTGCATGGGGCGGCGGCATGAAGAGAGCGCAGAGTGAGTACTCGCGGCAGGAGCTATTGGACCTGCGACATTTGCGGTTTGCATCGGAAGGACATCTTTATTTATTTATTTTGGGCATGCAGCACATGCAGTTTTCAGCGAGAGCCACTTTTATTTTTTTTGTGCCACGTAGTGCGAGCGGTTTGGAGTTCTGGACCATTTGGTGTTGCTGGCGATGGTGTGGAACCATCTTCGGACCATCTTGGGACCAAGTGGGACCAACTTGGGGTATGGACGCGGTGTAGTGGGACTGAGTTGGGACTGTCCGAAACATTGGGATCATGTGAGAGTTATTCTTGGGAGCACCCTCCTGGAAGGTTATTCCACTGAAGTTCTCTCGATGAACTCGACTCTTGCTTATTTCAGTACTTGAGAGAGGATGTGGACCATGATTCAGGAAAGAGGCCACAACTGGTGGAGTTGTAAGCCGCGTATTTTAATGTGAGCTGCATATTTCCAGCCTACGTAGCACCGTGTTCGCATTCGGAGGCGAACGCGAA